AAAAATGGAAATTACGGAAATATGGACTAACGGTAATTTTGCACGTGAGCTAGTGAAAAAGGAAAACTAAACAAACGGCTATAAAATCTGATGACGATCGTAGGGTTTGATTGCAACGAGAGACCAGATAGTATATATCGTAAACACAAACCATTCTTCCTCTCACTTTCTCTTCTCATTCATTCAATTCTAAAACTCTCTCTCGCTCTCTCTTTAGTTTCCTCAAAACTTGATATATTTTTGCTGTGTATCTCCGAGTCCGATCACAATGAGTATGATGTATTACGGTGATCTCACGGAGACGTGGTCGAATTTCTCTCTTTTGGTGGATGAAGCGGTGCTTTTGTACGAACAACAACACAAGCGAACTTCGGAGAAAAAGACCGTTTCTTGGAAACAAGAAGACGAACAGAGAATCTTCTTTCACTTCCCAAGAAGACCAAGATCTTCATCGTCAAAGAAACCTCTTCAAAACCTTATCATTGGCGCTTCTACTTCTTCTTCTCAGCTCTTCGATCTTAACAAGATTCCCTCAGAGAAGACAAACCCACAAAACCCTAGTTCCCTATCACCATCATCTTCCTCTTCGTGCCTAACAGAGAACAACACAAGCCGCAAGAGACGTGCCGTGCAAGAAGGAAACCCTAGTTTCAAGAAAGCAAAGGTCTCACCTTTCTTCTCATGGGAAGGGAAAGACACGCCTGATTGGGTTGTGCAGTTGATGAAAAACATGAAAGGAGCATCAGACCCGATGCTAATCTTTGAGAAGACTCTCTTCGAAACAGATGTCAAACCAAGCCAGAGCCGCCTCTCAATCCCTTTCCACAAACTGATCCGAAAAGACTTTTTGACACCTGTTGAGACGAGAATCATAGAGGAAGACATCAACAACAACGAGAAGATGGGTGTGGGAGCGGTTCTTGTTGATCAAGGCACTAGGAAGTGGGGTGTGTTTCTCAAGAGATGGGAGATGAACGGTTCTTGGAACTACGCTTTGGTTTGTGGGTGGAATGATGTCGTGAAGGCTAATGGGTTGAAAGGTGGCGACAGCATTAGTCTTTGGTCTTTCAGGTGCCGAGGAGTCCTCTGTTTTGCTCTTGTTCCTCTTCCCATGTGACTCTGAGTATCTCTTCCTCTGTCTGTGATGACTTTTTTTTTACTTGAGGCGATTCTGTTAGGTGCCTTCTCAGAATTGTAATTATCAAGATTAGGGTTTTAGTACAGCTGTGTTTTATCTTAAAACACCTTGTTTATCTCAAGTAATTTTTAGTCGTTGTTTCTGATTGTGTACTTTGAATTGATGAATGTTTTGACATGAATACGTTCTTGTCTTACAAGTTTCAGTTTATTGATAGTTTCATTTATCTTACTTGAATCTTCATGAATTAAACGAAATTTAACTCAGTTTAATTGTATAAAGAGCAAGAACAATATAAAACCAGGAACAAAAATGTATTGCCAAGACAAGTTTCTGTTTTTGGCAAGTATATACATGTCTCTAAATACAAATTGCATCGGCCCTTAAAGACTTTAAGTTACAGTCTTGCTTCTTGCAGTTCTATCTACCTATTATTTCCTCTTTGGCTCTTTCTGCTGCATTCACTCCTTTGAAGAATATTTTGGTTGGTTTTCTCAAACTTGATGCAAACTTTTATTCCTCATCACGCTTGTTCCTGATAGGCTCCTTCTTGATTGTGTCATTTTTCTTCTTCTTCTTGCTGATTCTTTAGCACTTTTGCTCCACTTCTGTTTAAGTTCTAGAATTGTGCTCTCACTGGATCTTGTACTTTAGCATTCAGTGACTTCTTCCTTTGAGGTGACATGGAAGTAGTCAAACTATATCAAACTCATAAGCCAAAGAAGATAGGTCAGACGGTAATTCTTTGCAAGCCTTAGAGCTGCATGTGCTTAGAATATGTAAATTATAATAACTAGATCTTTTGGCCGCGCTACGCGCGGCTAGTGTGTTAAACAAATTTTCTAATCATATTGTTATATATGATATATTGTATAACTTTTTTTATAACACTGGTGCAATGGAATATATTGTATAATTAAACTTATAATTAAAAACAAAAAATAGAATGTTAAATTAAATAAAAAAATAACGATCGACAAAATCATTGTAGTTAATGCAAGTAAGAATTCACAAGTAATACTAATAATGAACAATTTTTGTTTATAAAGTATAGATTTTTTTCATTTTTTTTTAACAGAACCCTCATTTTTAATGTTTTTATAAATAACTTACATAATAATTACTGTAATATTTTAGTCTGTAGTTTTATATTTTCTATCTTCAAAATATTGGTAGAAAATAATAACTATCAAAATCTGAAAATTAAGTATATAAATGAATTGAATTTTATTTAAATTTAAAATGATATTATATAAATTTAAGATTTTGTATATTTTCTTGTTAGGAATAATGTTTATTTATTCTGTTTATTTATAAACGGGTTGATATTAATTCATCTTTGACATAAATGTTTGGAATACCAAACCGAACATTTACGTGACATTGCAGTTAGGTTAATGGTCACATTGATCCAACTGGATTATAAATTTAATTTAATTTGAAGTTAAATATCTATATATATATATATATATATATATATATATATATATATATATATATGTATAAATATAATATTATTTTATAAGAATTTTTATCATTGTTTGAAGCTAAAATGATATGGAAATAAAAGGAAAACTTCAAAAATAATAAAAATATAATGAAAATAATTTATTTAAATAGATATTAAAAACAATACAGGTTTATATGAAAGTATTTTTAAAATTTACATTTTTAACTTGAATATGAAAAAATGAGGGTTTAGTATCAAACTGAACCATCGGTTTTAGGGAGTGACCAGTTCTTAAATCAAATTTGTTGAAATTTAGCACAACTCAAAACTGTTTAGAAGAGAGAGAGTCTTGATCCAACCAGCTGATTCCAGTTTTTAAAACACTTTTTGTCACTCAGCATCGTTTTTAATAACAAACTACAAAATCATTTTAGGAAACATATTTTTTTATTATGAACTTATGTCAAAAACCATATACATATTTAACTGAAGTTGTTATTTATTTTATAACCATTTAAAAAATAATAATTGCCATCTTATTTTTTTGTTTTTCAAGTTTCCAAAGACTATGTAATATGAACCAAACTGTATGCATTGAATAGATCAAAATATAACTTTATAATCAAGACATAAAAATTTGTGTAACCACCATAATTATACATTTGAGAAAAGATATTCATTCGAACTTGAGAAAATTAATTTTTTTTTATTTAAAGAAATTATAACACTGCGTTTTCTATTCTGCTATATCATCAACAACCATCATAGATACCCCTCTACAATAGCATTTTGTAAATGCTATAAAATATACATACACGATAGCAATATTAGAATGATATTATTAACTTAACTATATCAATACATTTTTGTTAAAAATTGATTTGTTTACATATTCGTGCAGTCCCTTAGTTATTATTTGAGAATTGATTTTGGCGCTTGTCATCACCACATTAATTTTCCAAGAAAAAGGATAACATGGCATACTAATAAATATGACATGGGTTGACGCTAATTATAATATGGACATTTACATTAATTATTGTTTTATATTTTTGGTAAGTTTCTAAAATATTGTAATAACTCATATATCATCACAAATATAACAATAAATAATAATAGTAAAATAAAATAGAATAACATTTTAAATTTTTCGAAATATTCTTAAATTTATTTTTATAATTTGATAATTTTATAATTTTATAATTCTTATTACTAAAATAAAATTCAAAATTATATAATTCTAAAAAAATATATATAATTTTCTAATCCCATTACTATGAGTTTCTTTTATATATCTACAAATTGTAGAAATATTATTTAGTTTTAAATTTTGATATTATATACCTAAAAATTAATAATGTTTATAGATAAAAATATTTCTTAGATTATAGTGTTAAATATATACATATATATTATTTAATGTAAATTTAAATAAAATTATATTTTAGCATAATTGTTATATAATTAAATTAAAATTAAAGTATTGTAAGGAAATAATAAAATAAAATAAAAAACGAACATTTACTTATAGGTCGGGTAAGCAAATGAACGCAATCATAAAATACATTTTAAATGTTACCATTTTTAGATTATAATGAGATTTTTACCATTTTTAATAATTTATAATCGTTTAAAAAATTATAAATATAACATATAAAAAATCTATTTTTATTATATTCTTAATGTGATTGTTTAATTTCTTTTAATATATAAAATTAAACAAAAGGATACAAAATTGTTATTAAATTTGTATTATTCATAATCATTAATTGTTATATATATGTTAATCATATTAGGTAATCGTGTAGCTTTTATTTAAGCAAAAGAAAAATATTGTTTTGTACACTACTTATCATTTTGATAGTTAGTTTAATAAAAAGTATAGTATATAATTATATTGACCAATTTATTTTTCTAAGGATTCTGATAATCATTCTAATGATGACACTTGGCTACAAAATATATTGTAATCTCCAGGATTAATATATAGGGGATATTCGAGTCGTCGTTATAAATTATCTTAATAATTTAATAAATAATTAGATGGAAATGTGTTTACTTTCTAATTAGTTTCAAATATTCTGTTGTTTTCGAGATTTCTAATTAGCTAAATACATAAAAAAGACATTCATTATATTCGATATTGACATCTTTGGAATTTTATTACAACTAATCTATTAATAACATATAATTTTTTAGCAATATCAATAAAGGAATATAGTTCTATGCAAGATAGTTTTGTAACTCATGTATATCTCCAAAAGCAATGAATTAAAACAATGGCAAAAGTTTTGTTGCTTCTCATATAACCCAATAGCAAAAGTACATACACCTTCCGTTTTATGAAAGAATAAACTTTTGTTTTTTTTTGGAAAAGAAAACATGCTTTCAGTTTATATTTTAAATGAGGTTCTAAGCAGTAACTCCAATGGGAACATTCTTGAGTCTTGAAGTTCCGTAAAGGGTTTCTTCGAAACGGATAATCTCGTTCTTTGAACCATAAGCAACCTGAATTCTGTCTTCGAGGTTGACGATGGTCTTGTCGAGCACAGAGGTGTATCCATCACTGCTGAACCCACCAGCATTCTCAATGAGCAGGCCAAGAGGAGCCACTTCAAACAACAGCCTTAACTTTGCCTTAGCCGTAGGAGAAGTCACATTCGTGAAGATTCATTTCTCCTTCACTATAATCTGCATACCATAAAAAAATGAAGTGTTTAACTCAAGTTTTTCATTCCACAGTAGGATATGAGATTTAAGAAACATAAACATTTTTAAATTGATTTTAATTGTTAAAAAATAGACAATTCAGATATCTTGTATGGGCCAAACATATTTCATCCGACTGTGCCTAAAACCGGCCAAACATGTTTTAAGAGCCAAAAACGAACAAACCTGGTTAACATCAGGAACCATTCCTCCTGTGTATCGCAGTGTGTACTTCTCTTTCACGTAGTAATCAATCAACTGATTTTCACAATAACATTAATGTAGAACAATTAGAAAAAAATTCAGAGAATTGTACAGATTAATGAGTAGATTAAAGCAGAACAAAAGCAAGAACCTTGCTGTATTCAGAGTTGTCAAACGTGGTTCTCAAGTTTCCTGGTGAGAACATTTTCCCTTCATTGATCTCTGTTGTCTCCTTAACATGCTGCCACTTCCCTGAGTATACATTTTAACCTTAGTCTAAAGCTACCAAAGAGTGAATCATTTTAGACCCTAGATTAGACACAAAAGCAGAGGAGTACCTTCATCAAGAAGCAAGAACTCATGAGTTCGTGGAAACCCTTTAACAGCCAAAACATAAGTGGTTTTTGGACCATAGATTCCCATGGCTTCAGCCACTTGATCTCCTCCAGTGACTCTGGTTAACTTATCACCAGGCCAAACTCCAAAGATCGTTCCCACGGTGAAGTTTGTATCCACAATGCTGGATCCATCCAATGGATCAAACGCCACACTAAACCCACCTTCCACTAACCACCCATGTCTTGAAGCTCAGGTACTTCTTCAGAGCAAGCGTACTTACACACGTGTGAGTATTGCAAAGCCTATAAAAACCAAACACAGAAAATCAAAAACCTAATGAGCATGAAACTTGAGACACAAGTTATCAAAAAAAAACCTCAAAGAGAAGCTTATCAGCGACTCGACAGCGAGTTGTTCATCACCAAAGGAGTTAACACAAGAAGCTGTGCTAACTTTGAAAGCTATCGTCCTCAATGCTTCTCCCATACACATCAGCAAAGTTCTCAGGCCCGGCCCTTGTCTGGTGTTGCTTGTGTCAAAAACTCTTCCTATACACACACCCTGAGAAAGTAATAAACTTAATCTTTGCCGAAAGAACTGACAGTTCAATACATAATATAATACAATAAACAAAACAGGCTCACTGTCATCAAAAAATACTTCTACCTGTAAAAATTCAGAGAGAGATGGAATCAGCCAGCTACACGGATAGTTGTGAACTTTAAAGTTTCCTCTTTAATCAAATTGATCCACCTAGCTGCATCCTCAAGACTTTTTGCTCCTAACTTTATATCAAAGAAAGCTTTACATATGGAAAGATGTTCAAGTTTTCATCAAAGAAACAACATAAATTACCTTACCTTGAGTTGATCATTGTGATTAGAAGTATTGTACAGTGTAAAAATGAAGAACGCCTGCAAAAGAGTGACAAAAAAATTTACAACAGAAGCATTAAAAAAAGTTGAAATAGATGACATACTTTTCTATGAACACTTTCCTTTCCATTTTCAGTAACACGGATACACAAATCTATCACCGCACTTCTTCCACCATCCTGTTCAAAAAAAAACACAAACTTTAAAGTATAAAAAATGATGGGCAAAGTAAATTTAAAAAAAAAGAAGAAAGAACCTTGGTTTTGGAATCGTCTGGCGCGTGAGGGAAACATGTTCTTCGCGTCAGCTTCCTACCGGCTAGCTCCCGACCCGGCGGCGGTTTCTGAATGCTCTTAATAGCGTGGGGCTTCTTAATAGAGACTTTTCGGATTCAGATGCTAATGTTAATCGTTTTCTTGGGTTGGATGATGGACTTCGCAGAGATAACAACGGAGAGAATAATCTTGATTCGAGTGCTAAAGATGATGACGGCGGCGGGTCCATTAAAATCGGTAAGCAGCAGATCCAGGAGCCTCCGCAGACGCAGCAGGGAGGAGGAGGAGGTCAAGATGTGCATAGTATGCCTGATTCTCCGATGCTTGATACATCGTCTTCGTTTGGGTCGACTTCGTCTTCTCCTTTGCCGGCGAATCTTCCGCCGATTCGTGTACACGTGGAGGAAGCGGGTGGGGTTAAGGGGGTGCAGGATCAGAGGATGGGGATAGAAAAGCAGTTCGAGAGATTCAACTTTGGGAGTAAGCAGCAGGTGAATCAGCAGGAGGATGGATTCGCGGCGATCTCTCTTCCCGCTGCTCCGGCGACTGTACCAAATGAGTTCCAGACGAAAGTTTTCTCTGATGATGAGAGATCTGATCACGGTGTCCCGGCTGGATACAGGAAGCCTCCGACTCCACGTTCTCAGCCGCATAATCTACCGCCTCAGCAGGTTCATAATGTGACCTACGTAATTTTCAGATGTAAATCTGGGTGAAGAAGATGAAAATTATTTATTGACGAAGAGGTGGGTGAACTGATCTACGATCCCTTTGAGAAGTGGAAAAGTCGAAGAACAAAACGAAAGGATTCCGTGAAGCATTGTTCAGACTCAAAAAAAATTTAGAAATCCAAGCTGAAAGCATTCGCTGATGTGGCCGAATGAAATATCATGATTGGTGGATTATAATTGTCGACGTGGACAGCTTCAGAGGGGTTTATTAAGCCCTTTTAATAGAGTTAGATTCAGTTCTGATGTTTATTAATTACTAGTATGTTCAACCCGTATTAAGTACGGATACTTTTCCTTGCTTTTCAATAAAACTAAAAGGTTATTTTTCTTTGTCTACAATTAATAGCAAAACCTCCTCTTTAGTTCAGCATAACAGAGACATCATCAATATTTATGTTGTTGAAAAATACAATAGTATTTATATTTCATAAAAATAGTTTTGAATAATTATAAGAATTTTTTTTTTAATTAGGAGAAAATAATTGATGATAACATGATATCGCAATTTATCTATTATTAAAATTAGTTAAAACTTATTGCATAATTTATATTTGGTTGACCAAAATATGAGATAGTATACTAATAATTTAACATAGTTAAACATATATAACTCATTACTTAATTTTTTTTACTTTATTTCTGTTTTACCAAATTTAAATGACTTCAAGCATATCTAGAGACTAGAATCTCGATATACATATATTTACTATACTTTTAGCTTGAATTGGGAGGAAACAAGTAGTGTCCTGTGGAGGAGGCAATATCATGTCTGAACAAGGATGCTTGAGAAAGTTTTCTGCGTATGCATATGCTCATATCTAGCTAAAAGAAAGACCCAGAGTCTGTTATCAGAAATGGCAAAAAGCTAACTGTTAGTTAGTGACTTCGTCAGTTTTCTTTTTATAAGCAGTACACATTTTGGCTACTCAAGGTCCAAACCAAACACCTCATAATGTGTCATAAAGGACAGAGCAAAACCCATTAGTCGATTCAACTAACAACAATAAATCTGTAGATGAGAAAAGACAGATTCAAGTATCTTAAGGATTCATGAATATGAGAACACAATAAGCGACAAAAAGTATTGGGATCTAATTACACCTATACCAGAAGTTTAGAGACAAAAAAGGTTTAGCTTTCCAGATAGACGGCGTTAACTTACAACGGCAAGAGTTGAGGGGGTGAAAGAAAAAAAAAAAAAAGAAAGCCTGTCAGACAACCGTGTGACCACCCCGGAGAGGACAAGGCCTAACCAGATAGCGATCCTCTACAGCGCGGACACTCCGAAGAGAATCGTAACCGTTAATCACACTCAGATCACACGGCCATGATTCATCAACCAGGGTTCGGGGCCTGTCTCCTTAGAAATCAAGGATACAGAGGTACGAGCCTATAGAACAGATCCTGTTCAAGTAAGGTCGTGACCAATACCTCCATCACAGCGCTATATAAAGAAAACGACTGCTCTGTATATCACCGATGTGGGACTAAATAAACAACTTCACACGCCCTATACGTCGCCGTATTCTAAGCTCAACACATTAATTTCCCATACGCCGTCGTTTCTCAAAGAATTAAATTCCAAAGACAGTGTAGGATAGGAAGAGACTGAAACAGAGGTTTCTTCTCTGAATCCAAATCTCTTTGAGCCCTTGACTGCGTCTCGTGAAAAGTTTCCGGTACTGCACTTGGTTACATGTATCTTCGGCGCCGAAGCTCTTGTACCAAAAGTTCATAGTACTGTTAACTCTCAGTCGATATGAAGGGTAAGGGGAGATGTGTTTGGGTTCGGTTTGTGTGGAGTAACGTCTCGACACGGTTTAAGTGTATCGTCATTACAGACTAAGAAGAATACTTGTCATGTCGATCTGTTAACTCTATTGTTGTACTAACATGACAGACTCAATAATGGTATGAAGTGTTAAACAGTTGTGATCCGTGGATAGTAGTGCCAAATAGCTTACCATAGAATGTCTGAGAGATGGTCTGGATACTGATCATGAGAGCATATGAGTCAAATTGCTATGTTTTTATTTTTCTTGCATGACTCATCACTTTTGAGATAGTGCTAAAGATCAAAGATATGCCAATTAGAACTACAGTGATGTTTCAGCTGAACTAATTAACTCAAAGATAAAAAAGAAATTTTATGCTTGAAGGTTTCGTGATAACTAATCAGTACAAGTCAAAACAATCCTTCTAGGAAACTGAGTCTCAGGATCCCTTCAACTTAAGAGCTCAATGATTTGCAAGAACACATAAGCACCAAACCAATTCTTCAAATTCAAAGCCTCATCTCTCAGACAAGAATTCCATATCACAACAGAAATGGATATTGAAAGTTTTCGGCTCATACCCTCAAACCACATAATAAGTTCACCGAAACTAACAATCCAATAAACTCTGAATGAGGAGTTTGAAGTTAACAGAGGATGATGATACACAATTCAAAACTATTAATAATGACAATCATCACATGCTTGTTTTTAAATTTCTCAGTTTCCTTAACAAAAAATTCAAGTAACAACGATACAAATGATAAATAGTGGAAATGGAATGATGACAATTCCAAAAACATCAAAAGTGGACAAAAATGTAGCAGATGATCTGTGATTTAACCTTTTGACGCTGCTCTATATTAGCAACCAAACTCATCCCTAAATTCATCGATGTGGGACGTTATAAGCAGCTTTACATATTTAATACGTCACCGTTTCCAAGCTCAACGTCCTTACGTCATAGTTTGATTATCTCAGTGTAGTGAAGACAAAGAGTCGGGTAATATCTGTAAAGTGTAAACCCTAAGTAAAATCAAAAACCCAAGGCACTTGCTCATCATCTTCCCCAAATTGTGTAATTGGTAACCATAATAATATCGATCTCAGTCCCCTTCACGTAAAACCTCTCAGTTACTCTTGATCTTATCTCGGAGCCATACATCAACAAACAGAAGAGGAAAGAAAACATACGACGAGTTTGCTTGTGGAGCAAGGAACCCTCCTTTTTTTGTGAGAAGAAGAGAGATTTGATCAAATGAGTGACCATCATGTGCGAGGGTTTAGAGCAACATCTCTGTGACAGAGTAAACATGAGACAAAGGTTATGTGTCCAAATGTAAGAAATTAAAAGGTTAGAGGGCTAAAAAATAAGTTGAGGGTCAAACTGGCAGACAAAAGTAGCAGAAAGTAACGATCTAGATCACTCTTGTCAGAATGATTTTAAGCTTCAGGAGATGCAGGACTCAAATATCTTATATCTACAACACTTAGTGACACGAGTAACCATGGCTCCAGGGAAACGCAGTGTCTTGCGGAGGAGGCAACATAATGTGGATGTTTTGGAAAGTTTCTTGCGTATACGCTCAGGTTTTTCTGGGCCTGACTCAGGATACAAAGATACTTCCTATAGAACAGATCCTGTTCAAGTAAGATCGTGACCAACACCTTCATCTCTGCGCTATATAAACAACACAGATTCTCTTTTCGTAACCGATGTGGGACGAATAAACAACTTCACACGCCCTGTAACGTCGCCGTTCCCAAGCTCTAACGCACTAATTAATGTCCCATACGTCATCGTTTAGTTATCTCAATCTACTGAAACAAATAAAACCATCTCGAACTTCGGATTCACAGCAATTTTGTTATTTAGATAGAGATCTATAGAAAGCAATCGTTAGGGTTTGGGGTTCGAAGACGGTATCGATTATGGATGGTTTTGGAACCGGTGATCCAAAGAATGCTGTAGACAATCCAACAGGCAATCTTGAGAATGTAGATGGATCTTTTTATGGAAGTTCGTCTTCGGATGAAGAACCAAGTGAAGCTTACTCAATGAACAAAGATGCTGAGAACAGACGTGAAAAATTCCACATGTTGGGATACCGTGATGGGATTTCTGCTGGACAAGAAGCTGCTGCGCAACAAGGTTATAACGTCGGCTTTAAGGAATCAGTTCTTGCTGGCTACACATTAGGTATTGTTAGAGGTGTTTCCAGTGCGCTGGTTTTTCTCCCAGCTGAGCTTAGAGTAACGCTGATCGATGAACAAGAAACTAGAGACAAGTTTCAGAAATTACACGGTTGTGTGCATCATCTATCAACTGAAACCGCAAGGAAACGGTTTTATAGAGCTTTGACTACTACAAAGCAAGGGCGTGACTCTACCAGTCTTGGTTCTGGTTCCGGCTCTGGCTGTGTTTCAGGTTCTGACGTTACTACCCCAAATGATGACTTGGGAAGCTATGTTACTGAGCTAAGCTCTCTTCTAGACAAATCTCCTAAGATTAAAGTTCGATTGGACACATAGACCAAAGATAAGAATGGAGGAAAAGGGTTTTACTCTGGTTCTGATTTAGATTCTGGCACAACAAGCTACTATCTAAGCTTTCTTCTTGAGTAGTATCCTAAGATTGATAAAATAGGAGGCTTGTTACTTATTTATTGCCAAATAGAAACATGGAGGAGGCTTGTTTTCGATCCTGTTTTATATCTGAATCAAAACTTATTTATTGCCAAATAGAAATATTTTTTGATGCCCATGTATCAACCTTATTCCAATATTTGCTCCAGCAAATTTGACACTTGTCTAGTGAGTCGATGAGCACATAATGGTGGTGGGAAGATAGCAATTCAGTAGAAGAACAAATGCTTTTCCATTTTTGATTACTATATGATTCTGTTATTCAGTGGTGACTGGAGGTGTGCATATAGAAGAAATACTTACTTGGTCCGAGTTTTGATGATCCCAAGAGTCATTGCACATAAGTTGCCCAATCAACCTCTGAGTTTATACAAGACAGCCACATTAATCAATAATCATACTGTTGGTCATGCTATATTTAGTATGGGATGGATTGTGAGAAGTAGTAATGGCACTTTCTGGAATGTGGGATGGGGAAATTTGAAGGACTTGCAACAATATAGGAAGCGGAAATATCAGCACTTCTATGGGGTAATCCAAGCATATTGGTCTATGGGACTCATG